TCAAAGGTTTCAAGCATGTATGTTTAAAAAGTATACGTACATATGTATGTTAAGAAAACCGAGGTTGTAGCTAACAACCCTAGTTTTGAGTATTTAAGTTTTAGAACGTTGCAACAGTGCATGCAACAAATAAATGAATTTTAAACATGACGATTTAAATGTTGATTTTAAAAGGACTTTAAGATGTACTTGAATTTAAGATTTCTCACGAAATCCATTTTAAAGTCAAATGAGATGGCCCGATTGAATTGGCTAGTTTTAGAAAGGCTTTTAAAGAGTATTTGAAACAAGAGTTCAAACGCTGCTCCATTTGAAGGATATTTATAGAAGGTTTTATCTTAACTAAAATTAAGAAAAGCTTTAAGAAAGTTAGTGATTCATTCTTTTGAAATTATTGTTATGAACTATGAAAGTATTTCTTCTTATATATATATAAAAAAAAATGTTCCGCAAATTTTAAGAAACCCCAATAAGTACAAGTTAAAAATTTAAGTTACGGTGACAGCCTCATAGGAGGGTCGTCACAATATTATTTTTTAGAGTGAAAGGTTAATTATGCTAAAATTGATCAAGTTTTAAAAAATGTACTCACTACTTTAAAAGCACCTCTAAAGTATGCTATTTAGTACATTTTCCCCAAAAAAAAAATACCAATTTTTTCTCTTCCTCTCCATTTTGGGTGTCAAAGTACAGCCAATGAGACAGCAGATTTGCTCCTAGTTTTCCAGTGGAAGGATAACTTAGTGAAATTACATGAATCATAGTAAACTTGCTTGTGTAGATGAGTAGATGAATATAATCATCCATCATTCATAATTTCATATAAATCATTTCAAGAATCTTACTAAAAACCCATTTTAAGAATCCACCTCGGCCGAATAGTGAACATATGATCCATAGTAAAAAAAAATTTTGGATGTGTAGATGATCAATATTTATGCTTGCGTGATTAAAACAAAAAAAAAAAAAAAAAGTAAAAAAGTAAAAAAGCAAACAACATTGAGAAAGAGAATCGAAATTTGTTTCCGATAATGCTTATAAGGAGGGGCCAAGAATTCTCTTATGTTCAAGATCTCAAAAACCTTTTAGTGATATGTTGGTAAAATTACCACTCTCTAATATTCTTCCTCTTCCGAACCTAACTTCTTCTCTGATTCACAGAAACAAGACTCTTCACATAAAAGCCCCAACAATGCATCCGATCGTCCGGATGAATGTCGAGTTTCCTTAACTTTTTACTTCCAAGGTTATACGAGACTATCTCTCCGTCTTTAGTCACCATAAGAAGCTCATCTCTCTTCCAAAATGTCAACGGAGCCCACATGTCCTCAAAGGGTCCAATACTAAAAACATTGCACCACTCGCCGCTTTGCTCCTCCATCACCCAAATCTCAATCGACATTGGATCTTTACTCCATTTTCTCAAATTATTGCACCAAATAAACAAAGCAAGGGAGTCATTCCACACCGCGATTTCCACGTTCTTATAACGAGTATTTGGCAACGATGGCAAGATTCGAAACACCTCATTGCACATATCAAAAGAAAGGATCCTTCGCCCGAAATTGCTGTCCACCAACCAATAATAAAACCCTTTGCAATATACACCCTTATTCTCAGCTCCCCAACCATAATTAATGTCAAAGGCCTCGCCTTCCATAAACTTGATATCCTTCCACGAATTAGTAGTTAGGTCATATACCTCGGCACATATGGTATATCCCTTGTTAGTATTGTTATACCAGGAGAATATTATAACAATCTTGTAGACATCAGCTCTGATATCGTAGCCAAATCCCATTCGTTTTAGACCGTTGAACTTTTTGTTTCCAATAAGCGCCTGACAAAGATCATATGTCGTCTCCGGAACAACCTTGAACTCGCGCAATTCCAGGTTGCACAAGATTACAGTTTTGGAGCTATTCACCATGCAAGAGATTCCATTACAATGATAGCTAAGCCAAACAGAACCCATCTCCTTTCGACCTTCAAAACGCGGAATGTCGATAATTTCATTGATGAAAGCAATGCGGTCGCTATGATCAGCTCCAGCATGGAATATAATAAAAAAAAAAAAAAAAAAAAAAAAAAAAAAAACTAGTTGAATTGTGCTAACCTAATATGTTACCAAACTGAATCTAACCCTAACCATGAAGTTACCGACCATTTTTTTATGGTTTTTTGTGAGGAGAAAAAAAAAAAGGAGACTTGAGAAGATCATAAGGAAAAACTATGTGGGAAGAGAAAGGGCTGGAAATAAGATCGATTAGAAAGGAAAGCTTTTACCTTAACGTACGAGAAGTAGTCGGAGTGCAAGGGCTGGTTCAAATAGTTGAGAGCCTTCACGTCAAACTCTTACGCAATAATTTAATTTAAATAAACAAAAGAGAGGAGACGGAATTGTAATTAAAATCCATTGTCAAAACGGAAAAGGATTCTGAAGATATTTATTTCAAAAATAAAACTGAACTGATAACTAATAAGTGATATGCATTCATTCACTCCTCTTTTTTCATTTTTTAGTAAAAAAAAAAAATCATTCACCCTTTAAAATTTTTGAAAATAATTTAATTTAGAGTTATCTACATAAATGCCACTTAGAACATTCTAAGCAAAAAAAAAATATATATATATATCTACTATTCTATTCATTTACAAAACTTCTACCACTATATAAAAAAGACATTTTTATCCCTATATAATGAAAAAGGGTGAAAATAATGAGATTTCAAAATAAAATCTTAAAATGAAATCTGAATATTACATTTAATGAAACATACTTTCTTCAGAAGGGAAAGTTTTATTAAAAAATAAATAAATAAAACCATCCACAAAACTGGTTTTCACTATACTCATTTTTTATTCCAGAATTTGAAGGACCCTTTTGCTCTGATTTCAGTCCAAAAACCCTAAATTCAGCCTCCTTTAAGAAAAAGGTTATGTTTATTTTCATTTTAGTTGTGCTTTCATTATTATATATGCGTTCTCATTATAATAAATACTAAAAAAAACCCAAAATAAACCCTTAAAAATCCTTAAAATCCCTAAATAAATCCTAAATAAACCCTTAAAAAAAACCCTAAAAACTCCTACAAAACCCCTAAAAATCCAGAAAACCCTAAATAAACCCTAAAAACCCTTAAAAATGCTAAAACCCCTAAAAAAAACCCTAAATAAACCCTAGAAACACTAAATAAACCCTAAAAACACTTAAAACCCAAAAAACCCCTAAAACCCCTTAAAGAACCCTAAAAACCCTAAAACCCCTAAAAGAACCCCCAAAAAACCCTAAAAACTCATTAAAAAAACCCGTAAAAATTGTAAAAAAACCCCTAAAAACTCTAAAAAACCCTAAATAGCCGTAAAAAACCCTAAAAAACCCTAATTTTTTTAAAAAAACCTAAAAACATTTAAAAAAAAGCCTAAAGCGCCGAAAAAAACGCTAAAAACCCTTAAAAAACCCTAAAAAAAAAATCCTAAAAACCCTAAAAACACTAAAAACAATAAAAACCCTAAAACCCTAAAAAACCCAAAATAAACCCTAAAACCCCTAAAAACCCTTAAAATCCCTGAAAAACCCTAAAAACGCTAAAACCCTAAAAAACCCTAAAACCCCTACATATACCCTAAAAATCCCTAACAACCTTTAAAATCCTTAAAGAACTCTAAAAACCCTACAAAAAGCTAAAAAAACCTCAAAAACAGAAAAAATCCTAAAAACCCTAAGAAACTCTAAAAAACCATAAAAACCCTAAAAAGCCCTAAAAACCCCTAAAAAGTCCTAAAACCCCAAAAAACCCAAAAAACCCCTAAAAACTCTAAAAAACCCTAAAAATCTTAAAAACCCTAAGAAAACATAAATAAGCGATAAATAAACCCGAAAAAAATCCTAAAAACCATAAAAACACTAAAAATGCTAAAAAACCTAATAAAACCTAAAAACACATAAAACCCTAAATAAACCCGTAAAAAACCCTAAAAACCATTAAAAACCTTAAAAATCCATAAAAACTCCTAAAGCCCCAAAAAGAACCCTAAATAAACCCTAAATTGGCACTAAAAAACACTTTAAAACCCTAAAAAATGCTAAAAATCCTAAATAAACCCTAAATAAACCCTAAAAAACTCTAAAAAACCCTAAAAACAATAAAACCCCTAAAAACACTAAAAACCCTAAAAAAACCCTATATAAACCATAAAAATGCTAAAAACCCTAAAAACCCCTAAATAAACCCTAGAAACACTAAATAAATCCTAAAAAAACACTTAAAATCCAAAAAATCCCTAAAACCCCGTAAAGAACTGTAAAAAAACCCTAAAAGAACCCCCAAAAAACCCTAAAAACTCGTAAAAACCCATAAAAAAACCCTTAAAAGGCCTAAAAACCCCTAAAAGCCCTAAAACCCGAAAAAACCCTTAAAACCCTAAAAACTCTAAAAACCCTAAAAAATCATAAAAACCCTAAGAAAACCTAAATAAGTGATAAATAAACCCGAAAAACCCTAAAACCATAAAAACACTAAAAAGGCTAAAAAAACCTAATAAAACCCTAAATAAAGCCATAAAAAACCCTAGAAACCATAAAAAAAAAAAACCCTAAAAAATCCATAAAACTCCTAAAGCCCCAAGAAAACCCTAAGTAAACCCTAAAAAGGCCCTAAAAACACTTAAAACCCCTAAAAATGCTAAAAAAAATCCTAAATAAACCCTAAATACCCTAAACACTCTAGAAAACCCTAACAAAAACCCTTAAAGAACCCTAAAAAAACTCTAAAAAGCCTAAAAAAACCCTAAAAACCATTAAAACCCTTAAAAACGCTAAATAACCCTAGAAAACCCAAAAAACCTAAAAAAACACTAAAAAAAAGCCTAAAAACCCTTAAAAGCCCTAAAAACCATAAAAACAATTAAAAACCCTAAAAACCATAAAAAAACCATAAAAAACCATAAAAAAACCTATAAACCCTAAAAACCCCTAAATAAACATTAAAAAACGCTTAAAACCCTAAAAAGACCCAAAATAAACCTTAAATAAACCCTAAAAATCTTTAAAAACCCTAAAGAAAATCCCTAAATAAATCCTAAATAAACGCTAAAAACCCTAAAAAACCCTAAAACCCTTAAAAAGCCGTAAAAACCCTAAAAACCCTAAAAGCCCCTAAAAACGGAAAAAAAACCCTAAAAACCCTTAAAACCCCTAAAAATGCTAAAAAAACCCTTAAAAGCCCTAAATAAACCCAAAAAACACTTCAAACCCGAAAAAACCCTAAAAACTCATAAAGAAACCCTAAAAAAAAAAAAAAAAACCCTAAAAAATTCTAAAAACCCTAAACCCCCTAAAAACCCAAAATAGCCCTAAGAACTCCTAAAAACCCAAAAAAAACCCCCCAAAAAAGCCTAAAAACAATTAAAAAAAGCCTAAAACCCCGAAAACTCTAAAAAACCCTAAAAAAATCTTAAAAATCCTAAGAAAACCTAAATAAGTGATAAATAAACCCTAAAAAAATCCTAAAAACCATAAAACCCATAAAAAACTAAAAATGATAAATAAAAAAAACCTAATAGACGGAAAAAACCCATAAAAAGCCTAAATAAAGCCATAAAAAAACCCTAAAAAATCCATAAAACTCCTAAAGCCCCAAAAAAACCTTAAATAAACCCTAAAAAGGCCATAAAACACTTAAAAACCCTAAAAAAAATGCTAAAAATCCTAAAAAAATCTTAAAAACACTAAAACCCCGAAAAAAATCCTAAAAACCCTAAAACCCTAAAAACCCTAAATATACCTTAAAAAACACTGAACACCATAAAAGCCCTAAAAACGCTAAAAACCCCTAAAGAAACCTTAAACAAACCCTAAAAACCCGAAATAAACCGTAAAGAAACCCTAACAACCCTAAAAAAACCCTAAAACCCCTTAAAAACCTTGAAAACTCTAAAAAACACTAAAAAGCCAAAAACCCCAGAAAAAGCCGTAAAAGCCGTAAAAAAAAATTAAAAACCCTAAAAATCCTAAGAAAAAACCCTAAAACGCTAAAAATCCTAAAAAAAAAAACCCTAAATAAACATTAAAATCCTAAAAAAACCCAAAATAAACCCAAAATAAACCCTAAAAAAACCCTAAAACCCATTGAAAATCCTAAAAATCCCTAAATAAATCCTAAATAAACTCTAAAAAAAAACCTAAAAACCCTAAAACCCTAAAAAAAGAACTAAAAAGCCTTAAAACCCCAGAAAACCCTAAATAAACCCTAAAACCCCTAAACATTTAAACTCTAAAAAACCCCTAAAACCCTTAAAGAACCCTAAAAAAAACCCTAAAAACCCTAAAAGAACCCCCAAAAAACCCTAAAAACTCATTAAAAAAACCCTAAAAAACCGTAAAAATTGTAAAAAAAAACCCTAAAAAACTCTAAAAAAAACCCTAAATACCCGCAAAAAACCCTAAGAAATCCTAAAAACCCTAAAAAAACCTCTAAAAAACCTAAAAACATTTAAAAAAGCCTAAAATGCCAACAAAAACACAAAAAACCATTTAAAAAAAAACCCCTAATAAACCCTAAAAAATCCTAAAAACCCTAAAACCCCTAAAAACACTAAAAAAACCACAAAAACCCTACATAAACCCTAAAAAACCCTTAAAACCCTAAACAAACCATAAATAAATCCTAAATAAACCCTAAACAAACCATAAATAAATCCTAAATAAACCCTAAAAAAACCCTAAAACCATAAAAGACCATAAAAACCCTAAAAAACCTTAAAACCCCTAAAAGCCCCAAAAAACCCTAAAAAACCCTAAAACCCCTTAAAACCCCTAAAAATGCTAAAACCCTAAAAACCCCTAAAACCCCTAAATATAGCCTAAAAATCCCTAAAAACCTTAAAAATCCTTAAAGAACCCTAAAAACCCTACAAAAAGCTAAAAAAAAAATCTCAAAAAACCTTGAAAACCATAAATATACCCTAAAAATC